GTGGATCCCCTCCCCTGCGTTTTGTGTTCGGCAGAGGATGCTGCTGGTGCCCTCCTACCTGAGGTACAGCGTAACCCGGTGGCCCGCACCCACTATGAACAGGGTGTGCGAATAGGTCATGAGGAGGCGGGCGCGTAATGCAAAACGTGCTGAACTCCCTCCCCCGCACCTCCAATGGCAAGGTAGTGTGCAAGGGCCACACTACTCCATTGATCAGCAAGACTTCACGGTATTATTCTCCGTCCGAGCGAGAACGCCGGACGAAGAAATACCGTGAGTACATGCTTCGACGTTGGGGGGTCGTCGTCGGTGAGAACCTTTTCCCCCTACACCAACTGTAAGCACAACCACAACACTACCCAAACAATCAACTCATCAACATCAGCACCACCAATAACAACAGCTGCGCAGGCTCCGTTCACCATTGCGAGGAGACCGTCAGGGGTATACGTGGACATAGTATTGGCAGTCCCCATCATCAACATCAGCCGGGGTAACACACAGTAGGAGCAGCCGATGGAGCTGGATGACGACAGCCTGGTACGGGAGATAGACTTGTTCAAAATTATTTTTTTGTGTAAAACAGCTCAAGAAAGAACTATTATAGTTACAAAAATAAAATAATGATTAGGTCAAATATTATTAAAGATTTTTTGTGAGGCTTAGCTAAGGAATCGCTCAGTAAATTATTAATTGAGTATTCACTAAAAATTGTCGATATATTTAATTTAATCCGTCTTAATGTGATTCTTATGATTAAAAAATCATTAGACTCTGATGAAATCACATCCTGTGGGACAATGACCATCATTTGTTCTATGATTAATCATTCAAATATCATAATTTCTTTAAGTGTTTTAAGTAAAAAAATAAAACATGATTAAAATAAGAACACAAAACAATTAGATCATTTATTTAGATAATTATTTTTGTTTTGTTTCTAATGTTACATTATCTTCAAGGAATTTTGAATTAAACTTCTGCAGTTTACATTTTTTTTATAATTAGTTTAGTAACCAAATGAATTTAACTATTGGCTACAAATATCTGATTGCTATTTGTATCACCACGTAAACCACTAGCATCGAATAAATACACAAAGGCTAATTATTTCTCTTATTTTCGTTAGAAAATTTTTGTGAGCGTACAGGAAAGTTAGATAATTTATTTTGTGTTACTAAAACTGTACAAATTGCAAACTTTCATTTGATATGGATGCTTTCAAAAAAATAAAAAGTAATAATCATCTATCTTTGTAGTAAATTAATAGTTCTATAATTCTCATTTCTTTTTGATTAATTGCATGCTATATTTTTTCCATGTAGATTATTATGTCACCATCTTTTCTTTTGTAAACTTAATATTGAAAGGAATTAGACATAACTTAGGTTTGGACACAACATATTTCAGCTCATATAGCCAAACGGAGGAATTTCATCCAGAGAAAACACCTTTACATACGTTTGTAGAATTATCTTCTCGAGGATACGGTGAGAAATATTTGTATCTTTTAATTGTTATGTATATAATACATTTATAATTCAANACGGTGAGAAATATTTGTATCTTTTAATTGTTATGTATATAATACATTTATAATTCAATATACTGTTGACATAGATAAAACTAATACCTTTGTGGTATTTCTTATTTTTCAGAGCCCATTTAGAAAAATAATAAAATATTTTTTCTAAGTTTTTATTTTTTCAATATTAATATTAATAAATTTAGGAAATAAATAATACTAGCTATAACTCGATTGAAAATATTTATGTTAAATTATTTTTACAGATCTAAAATTTAAAAAAAATGGATATTCAGACGTTAAGAGTGATTTGAAAAAGACTAGATCTAGTCCTTACAATATATATCAAACATTTCCTTTTAGAAATATGTCTTCCGCTGTGTTCAAAAGAACACCATCTCCAAGACTCAGTAAATAAAATATTCTATATATTAGTTTTTTAACATGTTTTATTATATTTAAATTTTACTGAATTGGCCATAAAAATAGTATTTTCATAAATAATATACTATTATACTAAAATATTCAACATTTCAGAAGAACTTATTGAAAAGTTTGATAGCTTCTTCTATGATAAAGGTCTAAATTTGTCAACAAATGCCGTACACAACAGCAATGTGTTGATAAAATCATTTGGTATTAGAAATCAATTGTGACCAAAAAGATACATCTTATAATGTGCAACTTAATCAAGGAGATGACTTATAGCCCATGATTAACGGAAGCAATACAAGTAACAAACCCAATTCGTTTTTGAAAACTGAATATAGTTGTTCAGACGTTAAGATTGATTTGGAAGAAACTAGATGTAGTCCTTCCGATACATACTGAACATTTCCTTTTAGAAATATGTCTTCCGCTGTGTGCAAAAGAACAACATCTCCCAGACTCAGTAAGTCAATATATTCACTCATAGTTCTAGTAGGTACTAATTTCTTATTTAAAAAATAATCAAAATTTCTGGAGAACTTATAGAAAAGTTTGACAACTATGTAAATAATTTAAATACATCTTCAAATACTGCACACAACAGTCCTGAAATCAAAAAAAAACTTTTGATTTTTAAAATAGATTATATAATAGGTTGTATAATAAAACTGTTGTGTCATTAATGGAAGCAAAATTAATAATATCCCAGTTTAATTTTTATATTTGGTATGATTTTGTAGAAGTCTAAATCTAATTTTATCCTATATTTCCTTTCAATAATACATGTTTACAAATTTGAAACGCATTCCTTTTAAAAACGCAGTAAGTAAAATTTAAAAAAATTTTATTTGTGAAATTGATTTAAGCCATTCATAATTTTAAACTTTTTTTTAATTTAGGAAAGACTGTAAAGTATTCAAAATACATTGCTCTGATTTTTCAATTCATCTTAAAAGACAAAACTTCAAAAAAAACTTTATAGACACATATTTATTGCACATAATATTGTAAATCAAAATACTTTATTAATTGTTGATACCTTTTATTTATATATTCATTCAACTATTTAGTTCTTTTGAAATATTTTGTTTTCAATTTTTTTTTGTATACTATACATGTTACTTTATTGTTATAATATTTTTAATTTGGCGTTGTGCATTTTTTAATTAGTTAATAAATTATTTATAGTTAATAATTATCATTAGTAATTTTTTAATGATATTAGTACTTTATTTAAAACAGAGGAGTACTGTGGTTTATTAATACTTAGAGATAAAAATAAAATTTATATTTATCATTGTAGGGTCATTATATTAAAGAGTTAATAACTTTCAAAAGTTATTATCTACCATTAATTTTCTTAAAAAAGATCACTTTTTAATTTTTAAACATACATATATGTAACGAATGGAAACATATGTTTCTGTTTGAAAAATTAAAGTTTATAAAATTTTAAGATTGAAAGGGGAGAGATAGAAACAATTTTAGTTTTTTTTTTTGAAAGTTATAGCAGGTAGGATACCAACCAACTT